ATGCGAGGCATTTCGGGTAAAAACAACATTGACCAAAAGTACCTCTCATTCAGGTTGGATTATTTTATGCAATGCAAATAAGAAACAATTACCGTCACGAGTTATTGGATACTTGAACGGTAAAAGTTCCAACACCCCCTTGCAAACCAAGTGACTGTTTTCATTATCGACCTTATTGCGCGACACGGCTATTGGTATTGGCTGGAGCTTGGCAAACGAGAAAGAATCAGATACTTTCCTTCCATACACGTAAATTACGTGTCGTAAGGTAACAAGGACAAACGTATCAAATGACCGATTACATTTGTCATATTTTCTTCTCCGCAGAGGTTGATCAACATGGAAATGTATGACAAGCAGTTGTACGCAAACGTTGAAGATTTGGTCGTGTAGGAGATAAAAATAATAGTTTAAGAGACAGTACTGACTAAGCGTAGAAACATCCTAATAGTTGCTCCCATAACTCATCAGAATTAGTGCAGTGATGATATATTTTGGCTTTGGAGTTTGGATGTTAGAAGAAGATATGTATTAGGTTGGAGTATAGTCTAAGGCTTTTGAAACCGTTTTTTAAACTTATGTAAAATTTCCTCAGCGGAACTATAAAAATGAACTTGGATGGAATTATTTCACTAAGCTAAGCTCGCGAAATTTAAAAAAAGATACCTGTTTGGTCTTGACTTTTATACAAGAAAAAGAATGCATGTTTTGTCAGAACTTCTTCGGCGATAGGCTGGTGTTGAAGAAATTTTTGCACTGGCTAAGTAAGGTTTTTACAAATTTCTTTAAATGGTATTTCGAATCCCTTGTAAATGATCCCTTGTAACCATTTCACCTAACGACGTGCCCTTAGACGGGATACAAACTGAATGTAGTTATAAATTCTCAGTTCTAAGTTATAGGCTCTTTAACTTATAAGTTCCGTAATTATAAGTTTATTACCTTGTCAACAAGACAGAAATATTCTGGCAGGCTCATGAGGAAGCCGCGCCAATCACCTCTGATAGTGTCACAATGCGACCATTATTGTGCGAATGGTGTTGTGGTTCGAGCCCTGACTAGTATACAGGCGGAGGATGTGTGTTGTTGCCAAAATTTCTTGTGATTTATCGCTAAGTGTCCTTAACTTTTTTTAGCAAGTAAAAGTTTAAAACTTTCTATTTGAAGCCGTTTCACGTCAATAAAAGTCGTTCCCGANACCATTTCACCTAACGACGTGCCCTTAGACGGGATACAAACTGAATGTAGTTATAAATTCTCAGTTCTAAGTTATAGGCTCTTTAACTTATAAGTTCCGTAATTATAAGTTCATTACCTTGTCAACAAGACAGAAATATTCCGGCAGGCTCATGAGGAAGCCGCGCCAATCACCTCTGATAGTGCCACAATGCGAGCATTATTGTGCGAATGGTGTTGTGGTTCAAGCCCCTGACTAGTATACAGGCGGAGGATGTGTGTTGTTGCCAAAATTTCTTGTGATTTATCGCTAAGTGTTCTTAATTTTTTTTAGCAAGTAAAAGTTTAAAACTTTCTATTTGAAGCCGTTTCACGTCAATAAAAGTCGTTCCCGAACTCGTCAGACACTCAGTAGAGATATAATATCTCACTAACCTCGTTTTCTCGGCCCGTACTGTAAGTTACAGATCCTCGTTTACCTCTTTCGATTTATGGCCCGACTCGGCTAGTAAGAGGTATATATCCCACGAGAAAGTGTTGCATAATAATTTTATACCAAGAAAATACAGTGGNAAGGAAATCTTATTGCACTTTCTGAACTTAAAAGTCCTTAAAAATAAAATACTAAAACCTTGATAGAACAACAATAAATGGGGATAAAATCTACAAAAAAATGTGGAATAGGCAAGAAGACCGCCGTGCCGTGAGTCCAAGGTCTCTATGCCTCTCTGTTGTTGTTGTTTTTTTTGAACGCAAATGGAATGTATTCGAACTCAGTTGACATTGAATTGAATTTGGTTCCTTTTTGATAACAAGTCCCATTGCGATCAAGTTGCCAGCCGTAGAAAAAGAAAAAAAAATCTTGCCAATGCATTATCAAGGCTGCTAAGGACTCTGACAATAATTTTTTATTACCCTTACTTTACACAAATAATTTTTGTAAAATGATAAAAAAATACTTGCGAGACAGAAAATGTAAAAACGTGTGTATGTCGCTTCAATCACGGAATGGCCAACACACTGGGGATAATTACACTGGTATTTGTCATGTTGCGTGACAAATAACACGTCTATAAGTTACGCAAAAAGCTGGACAAAAAGGTGAATATGCTTGACAAGTGAAAGTGCTGCAGTAGCGACAACATTGTAACAGGATCTCTACGAACCTAAGTTCGAGGAACAGAAGGATGTACAACTGAAATTATTTTTTCAAACGTTGCTTGTTTTGGATATATAAACCAGCTATGTTTGACAATTTTCCCCAGACTCACAGTAAGATACATCTGTAAGATAAGAATACACAGTTAGTTTATACTGGCATTCATCGCAAGTTTCTGTTCTCTCACATTGAAGAGACTGTTTTTACTATTTCTGTTTTATATTATAGGCAGCAGAAGCCTGTACAGGCTACGATTATATTATATCTCTCAGTCAGTACGTGGGCCGTGATTGGTCAATTTAGTGGGCCATATTTTCCTGTGCAGCTCGCTAAAATTTAAAGCTGTTTTTGCATTGTCGCCAAACTGTTCCATGATTTATCGCCAAGTGTTGTAACGTTCATAGCAAGTAAAAGTTTAAAACTGTCTTTTACTCAAAATTGCGTATCAAAGCATGCTATCAACTCAAAAATGATTTCAAATTGGCTTGTTTTGCTTTCGAGGTGCGTCAGAATTTGAAGCCGCTCAAATCCTTAATGAACCCGTCAGGCACACAGTGGAGATACAATAAATATCTTACTAACCTCATTTTCTTGGTCCGCACTGTAAGTTGAGGATCCTCATTTCTTTTGGAATCTATTTAACAACAGAAAAGACATTGTTACTCTCAGTTCAATTTTGTACCCTCTTTCTATGATCTGATAACTGTCGCTGCTATACCTTCTCCTATTCCAGTGGTATACTTTGCATTAGGCCTGTTTTTCTAAGTGTATCCAGTCTAGCTAGGCTTTAAGCAACCCTGAGAATGACTATAACAGCTGTTAAATATTTGTTTTGGTAATTACTTTAGAGTTAAAATCTACAAGAAAGCAGATCTAGCCAAAGTGACAGATTGAGTTGTTTCAGCTCATTTTCCAACACATAGAAGTTTGCCTAGTTTGTATTTTTGACTCTGTTCTTGGTGTTTTGAATTGCGATAAAGCAATGTCTGTCATCACTCATGTCTATTATTTTCATTAGGCTTATTATATTGTTTCAGAATATACAGTTCTGTAAAAAAAACTGATGCTTTTCACTTTAAAGTCAATCATCAGAAAGTTAGATTTAGCGGTGAACCATAAAGACAACAGCCAAGTAAGAACAACTATGACAATCATCATTGATTGATTGATCATATCAGATCTTCGAGAGCAGCAGTTTTTTTATATAATTTATAATTACCCCTTTGTGTTCCTCACTAGCAGTATTTTTGCCATCCAAAGGAGGTGTGTAGGCAAAAAAAATTAACTCCATCTCTACTGAAATTTAGAGTGTATTTTTCTGTCCAGAATCACTTCTGATAACTCTCTGCTTGTGTAGCAATTCCAGTGATGTCCATGTCCATGCCCAAATCAACCTATCACAAAAAAAATACACCGTGTGCACATTATACATTTAAGTACGGTAAAGTCACTAATAACATAGTTTCATAGGAGAGCCTTCTTTGCCATTTGAGGCCAGCAACTTGCCTACAGACTGTCTTGGTGGATTTTTTCTTTTCAGACATATTTCTTTTAAAATATTGATAAAATAGATATTTTTAAAAAATTGTTTAAAACAGCTTGGTAGGCAGAGCTTGTAACCACCTTAATTTCCACTGAAATTTATGGTGGCTTTAAATATCCACAGGTTTTACATGTAAAAATTAATCAGCATTCCTGTTTTTCCAGTTGGTGGGGTTGGGTCTCTCTGTGAGGGGAGTATGAAATTATATTTTGTGGAATAAAACAACATTATTTTGTAACTCACCTCCAAATATACCTGTCCAGTGATTTTATTGAAAGCTGGGCATGGGCACCAGCCAGACTTATTTACTGTTGGTTGCTTTTGAAGATAAGGGTATGGCCACGTGTGAGCGTCATAAATGTTCTTAGAGTCTTCTTCACTTGATGAGGCATCAAACATGGATATAGTGGGGTATTAGCGATCTAAGAACAGTGGTTTTCTGCAATCTTAATACAAAGAACTCTGTGGGAGGCATGGCAGTGACTGGACAGTATAATCAGTATAATCTTTAGATGTATGTAAGGGGAAAATTCAGTGAATTAATAATCAAATTTAGATGTAAGGTTTTGCAACTTCCAGAAATTACGGTACGAGTCCCTTTAAGATCATAGTAAAACTGAGGACTGGAGAAGTCATTGTTTGTAGCAAAACATGAAAGTTCGTTGTGCTGTTGTTGTTATCCTGAGCTGATGTCACAAAACAATGGATTCGCTGTGGATTGGAGAACGAGAACGACAAACATTGCAACACAAACGTACTGATTATAATAAATATCACTGTATGTGTTACCTCGCCATGGAATAGCTCCCGCGAAACAATGAAAGAATATGGCAACCAAACTCTTGCTGTCCGCCATATTTGTTTGAGAGAAAAAACTAATCACATGGGATGAGCTGACCAATCATACTATGGAGAGAGGAACCTTGAAACTTGGCGGGAAAATTTTCCCCAACCTCGTTTCCAGGATACAAGACTCTGAGAACGAGGCGCCACGCTGCTGGCTGCGCGGACCAAGGTTTTCTTTCTAGTTTATAGTGGCTATGTTGTTAATAAATTGCTTTTTTTGTTGTTTTCCATTGCTCCACTCCTCATCTTCCCGAGCACGCAGGGTGAAAGTCTTGCGGACCTGCACTTTGAAATAACAAGCAATAAACAACCAATGAATAAGCATTCTCAATATGTGACACTGTGAGTTACTACGGAGTGTCGTGACATGTAGCTCATGTGACTCGGTGTCGCCTGCAAGAAGATGCTGTGGACCATATTTCCTGCACTTGTAGTTGTTATTGCAGTTAGTTTTCAAAGCTGCGATGGAAAAACAGCGGAGGAATGGAAAGGAAGAATCATATATCAGGTACCCGGTGTTGAGGTAGTTGGATTTCATGTATGACCTGAATAGACACATATATAAAACAAGCCCTGTTCAAACCGAGTGAAACCTCAAATCAGTCTTCGTCCTAAATAGAGATATTAAACGCAGGGACGTACCTCGAGGCCCCGAACAGCTCCCAGTTTAATACGGCGACCTGCTCACACGTTTTCGTCCCATTTTGTGACCCTAGCTTTGTGGAAATGAAACAAAGACTCTCGTCTTCCTTGAGTATATGGCTACTAGCGTTCTATCACGAATACTGCTATCTAATTGGCTACGCTACTCACTATCTATTCTGTGATAGAAAGTGAGTGGCGTAGCAGTGAGCTTGTTAACAGAATGACGGCCGCTTTTTGGCATTTTCGAAGTGTCTGTGAGGAGGATTTAGATAAAGTTTGAAACGACCAGTAGATTTATACTAAAACAATTAGATTATTCGCTCTCGATTTCTATGCGTGATAGGTGACTCGGGCTGCGCCCTCGTCAACCATCACGCGATAGAAATCTCGAGCTCAGTTGAAATGACGTCACCTCACGATCGTTTCTAACTAGGGTTTATGATATGTTTCCCTGTGATCAGTGCAGGGCTTGAATCCTTAAAATCTTCTGTTCCTTCCTCTCAAGTTTATAGAACGTTTACGCTTTCTTAGTAATTGTGATGTTTGTCACGCAAGCTGCGGTCATTAAGCCAACCTCTTTTCCTTTTTCAAAATGATGACAGGAAGAAGACCGGGTAGATTATTAACGATAGTTGGACTGTTCTCGACCAAAGTGCAAAATTTCAGGGCATGCAGAAAAAGGAAAATTTCTACTAGGGAAAAAAGGTTAAATATAAACGGCTCTGGGCATCAGAATCGCCAATATCGGGTCTAGATAAATGTTCTATTTACTTGAGGTTTGATCAGGAAACCAAGAACCGATCCTCTAATACGGCCATACTAGTACAACCATTCGGTTTGAAAAATAGTTGTGAGACAGATAGTTGATCTACGGNGGGGGGGGGGGGGGGTTGGCTAACTCCCCTCCTTGTTTGTTGAAACATATACCCAAAAGGAAATGTTCATGAATGGCTCTTGGTACATCTTTAATTCCCCTCCTCCCTTTCAAGTCTTTCTATTTTTTCCTTTTAAACACACTTGGATTTGCTACCGATGATGGTTTACAAGAGACTTGTGGTTTATGAAAAACACACTTTCATATTTTTTCAGCTTCTAACGGATCGCTTTGCGCCCTCGGGAGAAGTGCCGTCCCAAAAGTGCGTTGGTCTGAGTAACTACTGCGGAGGGACGTTTAAAGGTATTGAAAAGCACCTGGACTACATTACCGGCCTGGGTGCTAATGCTATCTGGATCTCCCCTATAGTGCTTAATACGGACAACGGTTACCATGGTTACTGGGCTCAGAACATATTTGAAATCAACCCTCATTTTGGAACCAAGGAGGATCTGAAATCTTTGGTGGCAGCTTGTCATGACCGTGACGTGTGGGTGATGGTAGACATTGTTGCCAATCACATGGGTTATCCGCCCAACACAGACCCTTTGCCAGACGTCTCCATGAGCTTCAATAGTTTTGTTCCTTTTAACGATTCAAAGTATTTTCATCCCGTTCATCCATACATAAAATGGCCTGAAGAATGCAAGGATCAATGGAAAATAGAAATTTACTGGCTGGCAAACTTGCCTGATCTTAATCAAAGTCATCCGTTTGTACACCAAACGTTGCTGAAATGGATCCAAGATTTGACGACTGAGTTCGAATTTGACGGCTATCGGCTTGATACAACCATACAGGTCCCTAAATTATTCTGGGCGGAGTTTCGTAAGGCTGGAGGGGTGTTTATGATGGGCGAGGCTAACAACGGCCCCCCTCCATGCGGATCGATGGAGTATGTGGGACAATACCAAGAGTATATTGACTCAGTGTTGGCTTACCCTATGTATTGGACAATGCGATGGATCTTCCAGGAAAAGTCGAAAGATTTTACTTCACTAAGTAAAGCCGTCAATAACTCTTACGATATTTACAAGGACAGGTTAGTTATATGGCTATACATAAGGTCAATGTGATGACAAACATTTTAATTACGTCATAAAAACTTCTAGAAGCAACCATAAAAACTTCACATTAGTTATTCAATGTTAAGAAGCAGCAGGCTGAATCTGAGCCAGTCAGATCTGAATGCAGCTTTCTTAAACATTAGTTATAAAGACAAGTTAGATTGACGAACTATCGCACTAACTACATATACCCGCAACGAACAAATTTCATGAAAGGTTGTTCACGTCTTAAAACAAAAGGAAGAAGAAGGGAGAGGGGTATAGGAAATAAAGAATTTCCTTTACACGTTATTGCACGAAATGTCCACTAATTTTTGTTTTAGATCTGTCTTCGGAGGCTTTGTGGATAACCACGACAACCCAAGATTCCTGAGTATGAACCCGAGTCAGACCGCACTCAAGAATGAGCTCGCATTAGTGATAATGGGAGACTGGATTCCAATAGTGTACTACGGAACCGAGCAAGGATTCAACGGTGGCAACGACCCAAACAACCGTGAGTCTCTTTGGCCTTTTATTTCCGCTGAGAATCCGTTGTACAAGTTTATTGAGACACTCATTAAATTCAGAAAAGCTCTTGGAAAGGAGTGGCTACGGGAAAAACAGGTAACAACGATTAAAAGTTCAGTTGTATTACTACTTTTATAAATCTTATTTTGAGAGAAGGGCAGGCATTCCTGACAATCGTGATAGTCATCTTTAACATCTACCAGGAGACACTCGGCCGATCTGGGTATGCCGGTATTGGATTATCTAACAAAGACGATAATAAGACTAATTATGGGTTCAGATCAACAAACCTAACAACCTAGTCTTTAAGAGAAGCGCACCATTCCGTTTAGCGCCCCTAATATCGTCGGAGAGCGCTTGCCCGCCTCCTTTTTAATCGCCTGCACCCCCCGCGCCCCCCTCAGACTCACACCCCACCAGTTCTTAGGATATTGTTTTGTCTAATCATTAGGTGGAGAGACACGTCGAATCTGATGTATACGCCTTTTCAAGAGGAAAGATATTGATCATCATAACAACACAAAATACAACTGTTAAGATAAAAATTACAAACTCCCCGTACGAACCGGGGAATACCCTAAAAAATGTGTTGAATCCCACGGAAAAATTTAAGGTCTCTTTGGATGGCTCCCTGCCCGTTACATTAAACTTGGGGCAGCCCCTTGTCCTTGAAATGGAGGAGGAACAAAATGATATCTAGATATGAACTGCTTGTTGTTGTTAGCCTGCGTATATATCCGTTCCCGCACTCCTGTTCCCGTACTCCCGTACTCCCGCTCCCTTACTCCCGTTCCCGTACTCCTGTTCCCGTGCTCCCGCTCCCGTACTCCCGTATTTTTTCCCGCACTCTGACCGCGCGCAAATTGGACCGAGAGCAAAAAATCGACGAAGTAGGTTTTTTTTACTGTCGCTCCAATTTGCGTGCGGCCAGAATGCGGAAAAAGGTCTAAGCACGAGAACACTTGCCACGCAGAAAGTTGTGTGACTAATCTTTTATTACTAGTTTGCTTTATCCCTTTTCCACCATAATTAGGAAATATCAACGAAAGTCAACAGTATAATTTTTCCTAATCATAGCATATTATGAATTAGAGGTAAATACCAAAATGCCTATTTTTTTTATTCCGCATAAAAAGAGAACTTGGTCATTTGTTTTTTTTTTTTTTTT